AATACCCGCGTAAAATAATCACAAATGTTTCCATTGAACCCAGTTCTGGTTAAGACAATGTTCAACATATCTATCAGCCTCAGGTTTGATATATATGTTTTTTCCATCTCATACATGATTTTGTTAAATCCACTAAAAGTTAAAACTTCCAGAGTCTTACCTCGGCCAAAGCACTTGGCTGTAAAAATTGGGGAAACATTTAAATACATTTCAATGATTAATTTCGAAGAAAAAAAAAAATGCAATTTAAGGAGAAATTATTTATTTCATATTTTTGCTTAAACTTCAAAATTTGACCAAGATTTAAGATTTTAATGTTCAAACGAAAACCCCATTTTTCTTGTGGTCCACTGGGTTGTCTTGGAGCTAGGAATTCGGCTTAGCTTTAAACTTCAAAATTTAGCCTAGCTTCAAGCTTCATTATAATAAGGTCTAGCTTGAAACCAGTCGTGAACTAGAAAAAGGACAAGTTCAGGTCTTAATCTATGAATGGCATTTAGTAAATGTAACTTTATCAAATAACAAACTTTTATTGAATAACAATTACTATGGTTTATTTCACTGCAATGTTTCAACAAGATTTCACAAGTCGTTATCAAACATATACACAAATATGTATATATGCTTGATAACGACTTGTGAAATCTTGTTGAAACGTCGCAGTGAAATTTGTGTATATGTTTGATAACGACTTGTGAAATCTTGTTGAAATGTCGCAGTGAAATAATCCATAGTAAATTATATTCAATAAAAGTGTGTTATTTGATTATGTTCACGTTCTCTTTATCATTGTTAAAACCTTTCTACTACAACCCTTTTGTTTCAAGTTCCGATCAATTAGATAATTTAATTTGATGCTTTATCGCATTCTGTTTTTAAACCGATAACAAATCTGAAGAACTGTCTGATAAAAATTTCTCCTTTTTGACATAAAACCAATCTGATTAAAATACAGATCCTATTTCGTTCCCTTGTGTATAGTTCAAAACTTCATTTTACTTGGCTTCACTACAACGGGATCTGGAAGAGTTGTTATGGTGACGAGAGGGATTAGCCTATCAAATCATCTGTTCAGTTGAGATCTTATTGTGTTGAGAGAGGAACTGTGGGTAGACTTTGTAGCAATAGGCAACAAAACAAAGTAAAAGTTGTATTTATGAATAGCAATGACTGACATCAGAGTCAAAATTTGCTCGCATGATCTCTAGTGTGACCACATACTACAAACATCTAGATCTTAACACTGCAATTTGGGTTTTGTTCAGTAATTAATCAAAAACGCCTGGGAAAAGTAAACAGTTTGAAACTCGACACTCTTTTATTTAATCCAGACGGATCACTACAAACTACGTGAAAGTAGGAACCCAATATTTTTCGAGTGAGAGAGAAATGGGGTTTAACGTCCACTCGACACAAACTATGTCATTATCGAGACTAACATATGGCCCAATTTTATTTCAATAATTCGCTTGCGCATAGGGGTCTTTAGCAGTGGGAGGAAACTGGAGGACCTGGAGAAAACCCATGAGGTTCGACAGGTGACCCTACTCCTTGTCACGCACAACCAGGAAATCGAAACCGCACCAGTTGACTAAATGACCGACCTTATAATACAGTGCACACACGCTAACCATTTGTCCATCCAACCTACCCAATATTTTTCGATGATTCTTAACAGATTTGAACAAAATGAAATGAAATGAAATGGGGTTTAACGTCCTACTCTTCTGCACCTAACCTGGGCTAATTGAAGACGTGCATACGCCATACAGTGTGCTATGAGGGAAATTTTGCCCGGGCAGCGGCGCTACGGCCTACTCTTATATCGAATTCCAACTGCCAAGGGATGTGTACACGGGACCTCGGTTTTTCGTCCCATCCGAACGACTAGGCAGCTGTCCTTGTCAGGCCCTCCGTTCTGCATCACTGACAAGGGGAAACCACGCCGGAAAATCGAGATGAACTTTCTCGGCCAATGCAGGAATCAAACACCCGACCTCCAGGCTAGCGAGCCAGCGCCTTACCCACTTAGCCACGTGATCCCGAACAAAATGAAATATAGATGTGTGTTTTAATCAGTCTGATACTAAAACTACGGAACATGCAGGCAAACTTCCCACATATCTAAAACAAACCACTCACCTCTCTTTCTAATAAATGTTCAAAATGTTCTAAAAATTCACACATGGCTGGATCTGTCTCGAAATCATTAAAATGATTATTTACCCATAATAATACCACTCTCGTTACCTGGGTCGAAAAATAGTAACATCATAAATACAATGCCATTTAGAAGTACCTCCCCCAGAAAAAAATAAAATTTTGCCACAAAATTAGCGCATTCTGGCGTTATTTCAGTGGACCAATCCATGCGAGTGCTATGAAATGATGGCATTTCTAGAGAAGGGGGCTGGACGCAACTGAGATTTTTGTGGGGGGCCCTCTAATGTGGGGGGCCTTGGGGCCTGTGCCCCATGGTTAATCCGGCCCTGCAGATGTTACAACTTGACAAGAAGCCATGGTGGTTCATTGAGAAAGCCGCTGGTTAACTAATTAGAAGATCTTAGATTCGGTTTCGAGGCTGGCTCTTTGAGTTTAATTTGTTTCCACAATCTGATAATAGTTGACAATGCAGGCGTATAAAAAGTAAATTTTGACTAACCTTTGATCGTAACATGGGTTCATCAAACCAATTTAATAATTTATTGGCTAATATTAAAGGATTATCTAGGAAAGTTCGACAAGTTAAGAGGAAATCTTCAACATATGTTGGATCTATCGCGGAATGGTCTTCTACTAAATGCTGCATTAAACGATCTGCTGTACCCTGAAATAAATAATATTAATTAAAGATACATTAGGTAAGATTTAGACACAAACTAGGTCATTTTGGGACTAACATATTAGTCAATTTGGGACTAACATATGGTTCAATTTTATTTCAATAATTCGCTGGCGCGTAGGGGTCTTTAACAGTGCGAGGAAACCAAAGAACCCGGAGAAAACCCACGAGGTTGGACAGGTGACCCTACTCCTTGTCACATACAACCAGGGAATTGAAACCAAGCCAGTTGACTCAATACAGCGCGCATGTGCTAACTATTCAGCCATCCAACACCCTGCTATTTAGAGCTAACCATTCTGGCTATAATAGCTCAAAAAGTAAAATGAAAATATTGAAAATCTCATTCAAATTACTTCTCTCTGAGTCAAGTTATCATTGTTTGTAGTTTTGACAAGATGTGTGCATTGTGGTAACCAGGGCACTGGTCAATTCGAGACTTAGTCTCGCTTTCCTATTTTAAATTAAATTTATAAATGGCGAACTTTTCTAATCTAGTTAAAATCTCGAGTATCTGATCATTATAGTCTTGTTTTGTGCTATATGCGTATAATAGAGATAAATGGGGTTCAACGTCCACTTGACACAAACTAGGTCATTTCGGTACTAACACATGGTTCAATTTTATTTCAATTATTAGGTTGCACGTAGGGGTATTTAGCAGTGGGAAAAAAAATGGAAGACCCGGAAAAAAATCAACAAGGTTGGATAGGGCGATCCTACTCCTTGTTAGAACTTCTGATCAAACGTGCACCTGTTTCTTCATCAAAATATTAAATGGTCAATAACCTTTAGTTCATACATTGAACCTGGAATGAATTAACTCATTCAAACCAAACGAATAGCAGAAAATTTAATTATTACAATAGAGTTACTAACCCTGATGACAATATTACCACTCCTAGTACCACCGTCTAATTCACGATGTTCCGTTAACATAACCACCTGGCCCTTCTCTTCATGTTTCTTCGTATTTTCTTCTCCCTAAAAAATTAACAAATGACGGTGATTAATTTAGCTGAAATGAAATGATATGAAATGGGGGGTTTAAACTCCAACTTTTCTGCCTCCACTGAGGTAATGTAGACAGACATAAGCCATGGAGTATGTTACGAGTGAAATTTTTTCTACTCTTATTTCGAATTCCAACTTTCAAGTCACTCTGCCCTGCACCACTGACAAATAAAAACCAAACAGGAACTTTCTCGGCCAGAACCGGAGACCTTGGTTAGCGAGCAAGTGCCCTATCCACTGAATCCCTGTGGCTCCTGTTTATTTAGCTAAGGATGTTCCCCCTGAGCCAATGAAATTCGATTGTTATATGTAGTAACAGGTTGTATCTTAATATGTTGTGTGTGAGAGAGTAAAGCCAGTTAATGTAGTTGTATCTTAATACGGTGAGTGTGAGAGAGTGAAGTCAATTAATATAATATTGTGTATGCACTATCGGTGTTCTGCAAGAAGGGCACCATTATGGCTGACTGGAGCTCAGTTCCTTCTCCCACACTGATTATCTCGGTTTACAGTACATTGGCAGTAAACATACATGCTACACATTCATATTGCTCATTAAACTTATTCAACAGAATCGTCAAGTAACTTATAAGTTATCAGTACATCTGAAAAATTACTTGAAAATGATGTCACTGTCCATAAGAGGCCTCTCAGACGATTTCCACAACACAAATCATGAGGTACTTCCGAGCCTTTGACTAAGGAAATGGAAGTGATAAGGTCTCTTAATCATTCACCCGATATCACCCTAGGTGATCTGCTTAAAATACAGATCTATATTTCGTTTCGTTTTTTTAAACTTTCGATGGCTGCTACTACATTAAGATCTGACCAGTAGTAGTGGGAGGTCATGGGAGGGGTCATACGAGTGGCTTTTGACCTTATGACATGAGACATTTGATTAACCAATCAGTGTTGATGTTTCTAGTAGGATACCTACAGTTCTGTGCATCGCTGCAAAAGATTGTTTTATTGGATGATCAATCACATCAATCAGAATGTGGGTAAAAAACAACTCTTCCAGATCCTAGTGTAGTAAAGACAAGTAAAATGAAATTTTGTACTATAAAAAAACGAAACGAAATAGGATCTGTGTTTTAATCAGATTGGGTGGAAGTGAACGTTAATCCAAATCAAGTAAATTTCAACAACCTACCTGATGTAATATTCTATAGTAATCTGTTTGAGCTATACAGACAAACTGACAATCGTCAACTAATGTCTGCATGACACCATGGTGATATAATTTAGCCATTGTCGGAGAAATGCCAAAGCTAGAAAATATAAAAAGTATAAAATAAATGATACAAGGATAACATTATGTAGATTATAGATTTCTCAAATTAGGCTGGTTTTAATAATCTGGAAACATCAAGGAATTAATACTAAAACACAGAACTATCGGCCGGTCCAGTCTCTATTTATTATTCTTTTAAGGGAGAGTTGCGTTCCCCCCTCTATTCGTAATAGTAAAACTTTTACGCGCACATCATTAACTACATACATGGGACAACGCTTTTTCCGTCCATCCGAACAACTTTGCCCTGTATTTGTCGTGCGTCTGTCCTGCTTGACTGACAACAGGAAAATGACACTGGAAAATCCAGAAAAAACTTTCTTGACCATCACTGGTATCAAACCCAGGATACTGAGCCACCCCCTTACACATCGAGCCACTGCAGCTCCTCTAATCACATGATAAAAATATAATAACAAACCTGTCTCCCATATGCAGCCGTTGAGGTGGAGCATCAACATAATTTATTTCTACTTCGCCGTTTAATATAACAGACCACGAATCTAATTCTTCTCCATCTTTCATAACGATCGTATTCGCCTTCTCAACCACCGCAAAAACCATTACAGCACATAAAGATCTACGTGTTGCCAACGTCATGTTGGAAAATGCCTGAAGATCAAATTAATTATATGCATATGAAAGGTGTATATTCTAAATGATATTTCCAGACAACAGTGAAACCATCAAAGCTGCATCGCAAGTCTAGTATTGATTAAGGATTGCTTCTTTTTATTTTTTCTTGATGTTTATACTACAGTACAGTAAAACATCTTTAAGAGTTTAAGGTCCATTTGACACAAACTATGATTCAATTTTATTTCCATAATTCGATTGAGCGTAGGGGTATTTTGCAGTGGGAGGAAACCAGAGGACCCGGAGAAAACCCATCAGGTTTTACAGACGATGCTACTCCCTGACACGTACAAGCGGAGAATCGAAATTCACGCCAGTTGACTCCATGATAAGACTTTGATACAACACGCTCATGCTAACTCTTTGGCCATCCACCCCACCCCCTAATCAATCAAGAACAGATTTTATTCACTGACGGTGCTTGGCATTAGACTTCAACGAGAACTGAGAAACAACCTTGTTTTAGTATGCTATAAACAAACTATCACTTACCCGAAAATGTTGCATAAATTCAAGTAAAGTTTCAATATCATCTTCCGTTCTGTGTACAGCATCTTTTTCTAAACAATCTCGGACAGCATCTCGGATCGGTAACGACTAAAAAATAAAATATTTATTTGTAATAAGACAGTAATTACTAAACAGACAAAGCTATACGGCCATTTTGTTGGCCGTTCTGTAAGTTTAAAACATAAATATCAGAACAAAACAAATATATAATAATGGGTGTCAAAACGGTTGAAATTTAATGAAATGGAGTTTAGCTTCTTACTGTTCTGCTCCCACTGGGCTAATGAAGACAGGCATACATGTATGCCATGCAGTGTGTTATAAGGGAAATTTTGCTCGGGCAGCGGCACTATGGCCTACAGCCAAGGGATCTTTTATGTGCACGCCAATGTATACACGGGACCTTGGTTTTTCCTCCCATTCGAACGACTAGACAGCAGGCCTTGTAAGGCCCTCCATCCTGCACCACTGACAAGAGGAAACCACATCGGAAAATCCCAATAAACTTTCTCGGCCAATGCAGGGATCGAACATGCGACATCCTGGCTAGCGAGCCAGCATCTTACCGACCGTGATATAGTGGGTCAGAAAGTGTTTAAGAATCTGTAATTGCATATGGAATAATAGTTCCGCATTCAATAACGTAAAAACCTTTAACTTCAAACAAAAACGATGTTTTGTTACTGAAATAAAATTGAGACAGATGCCTGCGAAGAAGAGAGAGAGAGAGAGAGAGAGAGAGAGAGAGAGAGAGAGAGATGGGGTTTAAGGTCCAATTGACACAAACTAGGTCATTTCGGGACTAACATATGGTTTAATTTTATTTCAATAATTCGCTTGCGCGTAGGGGTCTTAAGCAGTGGTAGTAAACAGGAAGGCCCGGAGAAAATCCACGACCCTAATCCTTGTCACGTACAACAGGGGATTCGAAACCAGCCGGTTGACTCAATGACAGGCCTGATGATACAACGCGCATATGCTAACCATTCAGTCATCCACCTACCACCATCCCCCCATCCCCCTGCGAAGACGAACATGGATGCTGAAAAATTATGTAAAACTTACATCAACTGATTCATTGCCGTCTTCTTCGTCAGAGTCGACCATACTCTCCATTAACCCGGATAAATCAATATCCGCATTCTCTGGATCATCGATAGAAGACTGCATCATGTCGGATCCAGAATAAGCACTTGAGGTATCACTGGCACGAGAACTACGTTTAAAATACTGGTCACCGCCGCGTTGAAACGGCTGATCATTTCGTAAAACTAATTGCGATATTCCACCAGAATCAGGAGGTAACTGAAAAATACAACCAAAAATATTAAATACAAAATAAAACAGATCATAACTTACATGTAGTGGCTAGAGTGTTCAGCAGATTTTTCAAAGTGATCAAGGGCCATAACTATGGATTGGCAACCAAATATTAACTTTAGCCTCTAGAGCAGTGATTCTCAACCACAGCAAACTAAGAAAATGCAAAAAAACCATGTGATCCAAATTGAGTATTCACTGGTGTCTACTGATACGTTCATAGCTGTGTTCTTCATTTGGTTTTGGTCATTCTATGTGTCTATGACTAATCTCCGTCTACGGTTGTATACTGTCTGACTTACCATGTTCTTATTTTGCAAAATTCAAATATTTTTTTTCATATATATATATATTTAACCAGGTGTGCAGTATTTTTTCATGTGTTCCAAGGTGTGCCGTTGGCAAAAAAGGGTTTAGAATGACTGCTCTGGAGCATCCTCACGAATATAAGACCACATTTCAATGTGGGCGTATAAAAGTTCTGTGAGATCATTAACGTGATTCGAAAGACAGGAATATAGAACCATGAACACCCTTCACAGTTTGGAGATGACATAAATAAATTATTCATAAAATAATAGCTCTGCAAAGTGGATGTTAATTTTTTGTGTGATAAATGTTCTATTTCTAAATGTACCCTAATAACATCCATTCTATAATTTTCTGAATTTATTCCCTATTTTAAAACATAGAATAAATAATTGTTCTAGTTTTCACAGATAACAATAGATCAATTATAATTGATAGGAAATACAGAGGCAAACCCTACTGTCCTCATCCGTGTTGTAGACTATTTATAGACCAGAGGTCAGAGGTCAATGGGTTGTGGAGTATAAATTATTAATATATAACCTATCTGGCCTATGATTAATTATTACACATAATTATTATCAGCCCTACTAATATTTCATTTTTTAATCCAATATTTAATTTTTTGTGTACACGATGCTGATAAAGCGGTTTAGACACATGAATTCACGATACCCTACCATGAATAAAAAAAATATGAAATATGTTGCAAAGTTTTCGTGCATTACTAAAAATGACCGATAGTGGAAGCCCTGATTCATACATACATGTAGTCAAATTTATATGTGCACGTTGATGTGTACTCAAGGCATTGATAGTCCTTATTATCAGGCCCTCCTTTCCGCATTAGGGACAAGATAAAACTGGGACTGGATAACCCTGATGAACTTATTCAACCAACACCAGGATTCATCCTGGTATACATACTAAACTTAGGCTGTCTGTCTACAGTTAGCCCCGCCTGAGAACAGACACTAAGCTAGTTGACCGACATTTTAAGTCCTAAATCGACGATTTTAGTCGAAAACACTAAGTATATTTCGAGAATTTTGTTGAGTATTTATTTTGCTCCTATTTAATAAAATTGAAAGAAGTTTATTTAGTCTTTGTGTGTATGTATGACAGATGTGAAACGGAGTAGAAACGCATTACATAAACAGTATACTAATTTTTGGATATGGCAGTCATTTAGGGCAGAAATCTATTCTCAAGGAATGAAGTACATGTAGATGGATCTCTGCGTGCAGAATGCCTGGTATATTCTCATTAGCAAGCTTACAGGAATTTTGGTGACATAAAAGGTGTGTGTTCTTACATGTAGGCATCAATAATATATTTTTATGCTGTAATGAGTTTTTGGGGGTTAAATTACTACTTTAGGGCAATTTTCATTGACATATATGATAGTTGGGAACAAATTTGAAAAGCTTTCTTTCTAATAATGTACACGTACGTTCCCAGGTCAAGAGTCAACCCCCTAATCATACAAATATGTAGGGTTATGGGCCATTCCCCTAATCATATACATCTATGTACATGTATGTAGGGTCCCATAGGCCTAATTGTATAGGGACTTGTAAACCTATGCCTAATAACATGGTTGTCCATACACAAGTTTATAGGTTTTCGCCTCACTATACAGGTAACATTTGTGTGCTAATAAAATAAAACAAGCTAGCCCTGTACTCTTAATACAATCTCGATCCTAGAGACAACTTTATCCTTCGTTTATCTCTGGTAAAACTCGCCGGCCATTAATCAGCGTGAAACCAGTTCCTAAGCTCTGCCCCCAGTGGCTACTGATTGGCAAGATTTGTTACAATGACATGCTGCCGATTTCTCAACAATTAGGCTTTGATTCGTTGCATGAGTTATATATTAATGATCCTTGAAACATTTTCCACATCTTGACATTAATAGTTCATTCGAAAACAGCCGATTTGATGATTTACCGGGAACTATTTTTAGCGCACAATGTGAGTTATTCGGCTAAATACGTGAAATTTCTGAAGAAACGTAACTTTGAGACACCATCTTGGAACCACAAATGACCTATTGAATTATTTAAAGGGAGATATCTGTGGGCCATTTTAAATCTCAACTCAAAACATTCTTGTTTCAAAACCCTGATCTTTACATAATCAGTGAATATAACAACCAACAACCAAAGAAACTGTTCTTCGGTATTAAAAGGCTTTATAAATGATATTATTATATTATTATTATTATTATATATTTACGGTACCTGTTCTATAACGTTATCAGAGTTCATCCTTCTCATACGTATATCATCATGAGGTTCAACAGCTAGTAAACGATCTATATTAGCGGTTGTACATAAAGGGCGGTGACTCGGTTTAATCTGCTGTATATCAGGGTAATCAATCTGAAACAAATAATTTAAACATTACATTTAAAAAAAAATATCCCCAAAAAATCACAATTTTGTTTTCTTTCAAAATCATATCTTATATTTCAATTTTTCAAAACATTTTTTTTTTCAAAATAACAATTTTTTGTTCAAAATCAAATTTCTGTTCAAAATCATTTTTTGTTCAAAATCATTTTTTGTTCAAAATCAATTTTTTTTTTCAAAATCAATTTTTTTTTTCTCTCAAAAATCACAATAACTTTCTTTCAAAATCATATATTTCAAATTCCCATTTTATTTTTCAACTTTACTGGTGTTGCTGAAAGAGTGGCTGGGCATGACACCTAACACTGCAACATATATTTAATACAATAGTTTGGATTTGGATTTTAGAAATTGAAGCTACTGGTACACATCATCTCATGAGATAAATATACATAATCATACACAGTCTGATCAAAAGGCATAAAAAATAATATATATTTCTCACTTTCTATTATTATAGAAACAGAGTGTGGGACATAAAGTAGTTTGCTCAAGTGACAATATAATCCAGTATTCCATTATAGTGTAATAAGTAGCACACATATTCAACAACATGCAGTTTATAATAACATGAATATATATCATAAGGCAGTGCTCTCTCTGAGGTCCGTCAAACAAGTCAAAAAACAATTTTCAAAAATAAGTAGCACACATATTCAAGAACTTGCAGTTTATAATAACATGCATACAGTATATAATGTAATTATATAAGACAGTGCTCTCTCTGAGGTCTGTCAAGTCAAAAAAACAATTTGTTATATTGGTATCAAACTATATTATGTAGCTTTTTTTCTCACAAAGTTAATATTATATTCAAATTTAAAATTCTACCACACACAAATGACAATTTTGACAGAAAAATTTCAAAAGTTAAAAAGACAGTTCAAATTAATTTATTGTTTGACCGAGTTACAGACCTTATGATACAGTGCGCACGTGCTAACCATCTGGCCATCCAACCCCCTCACTATAGTTAGATTACAAGAACTTTTTATTATTCTCTGTAATAGAACTAGACTACAAGAAACTATCATTCAAAGAACAAGAACAATTTAAAATACTTTGTTCTAGATTACAAGGAATTAATATCAAAAAGAACAATTACCATACAAGACATTCCAGAAAATCAATCCACGATATTAAAAAAAAACAAGATCCAAATATATCCAATACACAACAAACTGTTCACGTTTCAAAACATTTCCAGAGAAATAATCCTTTTGCTATTAACAGTCATTCCCCACACATTGTACAAAGTCTGTTCACAAATCAGGAACGCGATAACAAGTAGGCACTTATTAAATAGGAAGGGAAGTAACCAAGCCCTCGCTATATAAGGTCAAGCGTAGTAAATACTTTAATTCTAGTGTTATTCATCCTCAACACAAACTAACCATATAGCAACGCTAATTTAATTAAAACATTTTAAAATATTCTTTAATTGCAATGTTATTTGCCACCAGCTCCAACTCACCATGTAGCAACGTTAATTCAAAGATACATTATGTAAGATTTAGATAAAGAGCTAGCCATTCTTGCTATAATAGTTCGAAAATAGATAATGTAAAATGAATAATTTGAAAAGTTCATTCAAATTACTCTATTGCGAACAAAAATATTAGCTTTTGAAGGTTTTACAAGACGTGTGCAATAATTTCAACCACCATACTGGTTGTTCGAAGCTAAGTCTCGCTCCTCCATTTTTAAATTAAATAAAAATATGGCTTAACCGTTCTAATCTATTTAATATCGGAGAAATCAAATGCCATCAAGAGTTGATTATGGTCTGGATAAGTTAATTAATGTCTAATTAATAATTTAGATAACATTTCAGGTCTAAATAAAGACCTGCAATAGGCAGATTTAGCTCTTGCATAATGTATGTTTAATTAATACATTTTAAACCATTCTCTAACTGCAATGCTATTTGCCACTCGCTCCAACTCACCATGTAGCAACGTTAATCTAATTAAACTATTTTCTAAACTATGTTTATTATCAGGATATGCGTTACAATAGTTATTGTGTTTATGACATTGTTAATGTTTGTCATTTATATGGTAATACCTAATGTTTGATTTTAAAATTGTTTTTCTGACGTAAATATGTTATTTTGTTCAATTTTATGTTAAATGCTTAATTTTAATTTGTTTTTTTTTTTATGTCGTGAGAGAGAAAGAAAGAAATGGAGTTTAATGTCCACTTGACACAAACTAGATTTATTTCGGGACAAAAACACACGGTTCAATTTTATTAAAATAACTCGCTTGCGCATTGGGGTCTAAAACCGGAGAACGCAGAGAAAACCCACGAGGTTGGACAGGCAACCCTACTGCTTGTCACGTACAAAAGGGGAATCAAAACCACTACACTTGACACAATTCTATGTCTTAGTAATATACATGTAACATTACATTTCATTTATTTGTTTTTAACAATCACGTTGGACAGGAGTAGATTTTAACGCCTGTTCAACACCACAGTTCTATGGATTTGAGACTAACATGTTTGCTATGTGGAGAGAGAGAGAGTCTTGCCAGGAATATATTTCCCCCTAAATCACAACTGCCTAGGACTTCTTTACATGCACGTACATGTACACGATAAATTGTATACCAGTGGACTGCTGTGTTTTTTCTAATCCCATTTATATTAATGATTTTGTAGTTTCAGATGAACATATAGAATTCAGTTGGTTTATTTTTTTCTTTTTCGTAGCAAAAAAGTAATTAAAAGAGCTAAACCTCTTTGGGTTAGTTAAGTCAAATTCAGAGGCCATTTTTAAATCTAGATAGAAGTACACAGGAATTGCCGTTGAATATATTCTTCTTCGGTCATTTCAACAAAATGGACGATTAAATAATGAATAGACAAATAATTATAGATTTTTTATAACGGGAAGCAATGCAAGAAATTTATGAGTAATTCATGTAATGAGCAATCGGCTATCAATAACCATGACGATGATGTTAAACAATTAATTCACATTTAATGCCTTAAGTTTAGTATTAATATAACCAGTAATGGGCAAGTTTCAGGAAGTACAATGGGATATAAAGTGAGTAATACTATCATGTTAGATGAATTTTTGTATCTAACTGCTTCCTAGTTCTATTCTACTTTATTCAACTGGGGAGGCTGGGTGTTCTATGATAATTAACTTATTCAACAGGGGAGATTGGGTGTTGTACGATACTTCTTCAACAGGGGAGTCTGGGTGTTCTATTCTATTTTATTCAACAGGGGAGGTTGGGTGGCTGGCAGAGCTGGGGTAATGGTAATACTAATAGGTATGGTAATGGAATGTAATCATTACATTTTTGGTCGAACGTGTGTGACTTTCATCATCTGCAACAATACCATGTGTACTGTGTACATGTTTCCTAGTCCAAGATAACCAGATAAAAGTATTCTTGATTAAACCATGGTATAAAACTCTTAAGAAATTATTTGTGGTTGTGGTTTCCCCTTGTCAAATTCATGCGCACGCTAAAATGCATACAGGAGCTCAGTTTTTCATTCCTTCTAACAGGCCCTCCATCAAGCAGAACTGGCAATAGGTGGCTTGAATATGTTGAGCGATCTTTTTCAGCCAAAGTCTGTTTCATACCCCAGGACCTCCTGTCCTGGTTGGTCAGTCAGTGCCAGCGTGTATCCCAATAAAATATGTTTCTTGCCATTCCCTCTGTCCTGCACCACAACAGGAACCATGCTGAAAAAAGCTGAGTTGTAGTGCCAAACCTCCTGTTTTGTGAGACACTGTGTCTCTCGAATAAAATATGAAATATATTTAAAATACTTACGACTATCATCTCGGAATGTTCGAGTGTAAGACACTCACTAGTTCTTCGTACACATCCTTGACTTCTTTTACCAAAACTACAAAATATACAAATGATCAAAACATTAATGTTAGAAATAAATACATGTAGTTGCTTAAAGATCAAAGCCTGGAAATAAGGCACCTGTCATGATCATTGGCTTTATTAACAAATTAAAATTCCATGAGATACATAAACATACACATGTAGTCTCATTACCATATGATATAAGAACATAGTCTCAGTACCCCATGATATATAAATGTAGTCTCAGTACAATATGTTATATGAAAATATTCTCAGTACCATATGATATAAGAACATAGTCTCAGTACCTCATGATATATAAATGTAGTCTCAGTACAATATGTTATATGAAAATATTCTCAGTACCATATGATATAAGAACATAGTCTCAGTACCATATGCTATATAAATGTAGTTTCCGTACCATATGTTATATGAAAATAGTCTCAGTACCATATGCTATATGAAAATAGTCTCAGTACCATATGCTATATGAAAATGGTCTCAGTACCATATGATATAAAAACATAGTGTCAGTACCATATGCTATATGAAAATAGTCTCAGTACCATATGATATATGAACATAGTCTCAGTACCATATACTATATGAAAATAGTCTCAGTACCACATGACATAAGAACATAGTCTCAGTACAACATGCTATATGGAAATATTATCAGTACCATATGATATAAGAACATAGTCTCAGTACATGCTATATGAAAATAGTCTTGGTACCACACAATACAATAACATAGTCTCAGTACCATATGCTATATGAAAATAGTCTCAGTACCACATGATACAAGAACATAGTCTCAGTACAACAAGCTATATGAAAATAGTCTTGGTACCACATGATACAAGAACATAGTCTCAGTGCCATATGCTATATGAAAATAGTCTCAGTACCACATGATACAAGAACATAGTCTCAGTACCACATGATATATGAAAATAAACTCAGTATCACATGACATAAGAACATAGTCTCAGTACCAAATGATATATGAACATAGTCTCAGTACCACATGACATAAGAACATAGTCTCAGTATAACATGATATATGAACATAGTCTCAGTACCACATGACATAAGAACATAGTCTCAGTATAACATGATATATGAATATAGTCTCAGTTCCACATGATATAAGAACATGGCCTCAGTACCATATGAATGATAGAAGATATATAATATAACACAGAAATATAGGATGTTAAATATTGTGTGATGTTAATATTTTTATATGTCTAATATGATATGTCTACATTTATTACTTGTTGTATAAAGTAATACTATTCTATACATTGTATAAAGTCAGTGCTTAAATTCTCATATTTTTAAAATAAGATAAATTTTATGTATACTATGACACTATGTGCCCTTTTTAAAGTTCAATAATTTTATGTTATATGTGTTATTGGAACTACTGTTGTAGCAGTACATTTAAAGTTACAATTTCATATTTTCTAAGAAAGTCAAAACATATTTTCTAAGAAAGTCAAAACATAATTATTTCTGTCTTTTGCTCATTAGGTTGTCAACTCACTATTATATGATCATAGGTGTTCTTCTCACACTTAAAACTCACTTACACCGGAAACAATAACACAATTACCTCCCTTGTTTTCTATTCTCCACCATGGAGTAGTTATCTTCAAACGTTTGAATTTGAAGATGAAAATGATATTTTTGCCAATTTCTTTAACAAGGTAGGATACCATCTATTTTAAGGCTTTATTTTAATAAATTTTTAAAAATATAACTTAAAAATATGAAATTGCAACGAAACATACGCCCACAGCAGCTAAATCGTCCGGGCAGTCAACAAGTGTTGTCGCATATTTTTACTTCTTTCAGTAATGAAACATTTATAATACACTAAAATCTGATTAAGACTAACAACTCATGAAGTAATTATCAGAAAATCATTAGAATTTGTTTGGTTTTTATAAAGTTTTGCCCCATGCTAACGTTTAGTATACAAAACTTTTAATATCTTGGATTTAGCTGTTCAAGTCATAAAAATTCATTGAAAATCAATATTCTTGTTCGTCTCAAGCTCTTAAACTCTGTGTATCAATATGAAGTCAACTCTGGCAGTAATTATCGGAAATCGCTGAAAACCAATAGGCTTCTTCGTCTCATGACCTTAAACACTGTGTATAAATTTAAAGTCAATCGGATATTAACTTTGGCCTTTAGAGCGTCCACAAGATTTTTTGAAGTGATCAAGGGCCATAACTCTGGCAGTAATTATCGAAAATCGCTGAAATTGAATAGTTGTCTTTGTCTCATGACCTTAAACACTGTGTATAAATTCAAAGTCAATCGGATATTAACTTGAGCCTCTAGAGCGTCCACAAGATTTTTCAAAGTGATCAAGGGCCATAACTCTGGCAGTAATTATCTGAAATCACTGAAAATCAATAGGCTTCATTGTCTCATGACTTTAAACACTGTGTATAAATTTAAAGTCAATCGGATATTAACTTTGGCCTTTAGAGCGTCCACAAGATTTTTTGAAGTGATCAAGGGCCATAACTCTGGCAGTAATTATCGGAAATCGCTGAAAATCAATAGGCTTCTTTCTCTCATGACCTTTAACACTGTGCATAAATTTAAAGTCAATCAGATATTAACTTTAGCCTCTAGAGCGTCCACAAGATTTTTTGAAGTGATCAAGGGCCATAACTCTGGCAATAATTATCGGAAATCACTGAAAATCAATAGGCTTCTTCGTCTTATGACCTTAAACAGTGTGTATAAATTCAAAGTCAATCGGATATTAACTTTGGCCTTTAGAGCGTCCACAAGATTTTTTGAAGTGATCAAGGGCCATAACTCTGGCAGTAATTATCGGAAATCGCTGAAAATCAATAGGCGTCTTCGTCTCATGACCTTAAACACTGTGTATAAATTTAAAGTCAATCGGATATTAACTTTAGCCTCTAGAGCGTCCACAAGATTTTTTGAAGTGATCAAGGGCCATAACTCTGGCAGTAATTATCGGGAATCGCTGAAAATCAATAGGCTTCTTCGTTTCATGGCCTTAAACACACATAAATTTAAAGTCAATCGGATATATTGTGGACGCCGGACGGACGGACGGGGGCGACGACAATATACGACCACATTTCAATGTGGGCGTATAAAAAACTATTCTAGAGTCCTTTATGTCAAATGTTTAACTTTATATCTCTGTGAGAAAAGATTTGTTATATGTGTTATTGTGACTACCGTTGTAGCAGTACGTTAAATAATATTGTATAAAAAAACTATCCAGAGCCCATTATGACAAATCAGAAATCTGTGAGAAAAGATTTGTTAGTGAATGAAAGTTTGGTGGTAATGTATGTAATGTACCTACTGACGCATGTGTATAATGTAATAGGTGAATGAACAGCTTAACGAGATAATCACATATACCTGTACAGGTAACTTATCAGGTATATTATAAAGGTGTGGGAGGGGATTGAATAGATTGGATGTAATACAATGAATATGTTGACATCCCTCTCTTAATTATCATTCTGTGTATCCACAGAACCATAAACTTATTTACTTCTTTTCTCATCTGAATGTAAACAGATTATTAGATGGGAGGAAAACGGTTTTATAATAAATGTTATATTGTGTGGTGTAGATCACAACAGAAAAGAAATGAAATGGGGTTTAACGTCCTACTGGGCTAATGAAGACGGGCATACACCATACAGTGTGCTATGAGGGAAATTTTGCCCAGACAGCGGCACTAACGCCTACTCTTATATCAAATTCCTAATGCCAAGGGATCTTTTATGTGCACGCCAATGTGTACATGGGACCTCGGTTTTTCGCCCCATCCAAACCACTAGACAGCTGTCCTTGTCAGGTCCTCTATCCTGCATCACTGACAAGGGGAAACCACGCCGGAAAATCTGGATGAACTTTCTTGACCAATGCAGGGATCAAATACCCGACCTCCAGGAGATCGATCACAACAGAGATTCATGACATATACCTGTATAATCTATAATTTTGTTTGTTTTAAACATCAACAGTGATTCATAATATGTTTGTTTTTAACATAAATTATTTCAGCCTGCACAAACTGCATGCCTGAAAATCCTGAGGTGAGTGACTTTCTCGATCAACACAGATTGTTTAGTGAGCAAGCACATTATTCACTGAGCCACACCAGCTCTCAACGAGAAATACATTGAGAGAGAGAGAGAGAGAGAGAGTTTAACACTCACTCAACACAAACTAGGTCATTTTGTGGCTAACATATATTTAAAGTTTTATTTCAAATATTCACTTGTGCATAAGGGTCTTTAGAAGTTGGAGGAAACCGGAAAACCTGGAGAAACCCGCAAATTTGGAAAGGCAATCCTTCTCCTTGTTTAGTACAAGCAGGAAATCAAAACCATGCGACTTTGACTCAATGACAGACCTTATGATCAAATGCTTGTACAAATACCTAACCATTCGACCCCATCCCCTCCTCTTAAAACATTATAAAACAAAAACTGATCAATGAGAGAGTTAATGAGAGAGTTAATGGATACCTTACCTTTTAGTATCGAGATTTTTAGCGATAATAATCCTGTTAGAATTATCAGCTGCTAATTTACACTTCATTATTAGCATATTCTTACAATTTTTACTCATTTTGATTTCTTATATTGAATTTCAGACTAGAAAATTTAATCCAATACAAATTTGTTGTTCCAGCACGGAATTCGAATTGTCTTCACCACACCACATAAATTATTTCTTACAAACATTTTCATCGTTATGGATGTAAATGCGTTTCAAATTCAAACCACAGAATTCTGATCACAGACATTTCTATCAATCTATATTTGAACATGAATGAATTATTCAGTGCTAACAATGTTGTCCTACAAAGGACACAAAAAAAATATCTAATGCATCAAAATGTCAATTATCCTTTTTTCAATCATCCGATTAAATAATTAATGTTCTCTTCAGTCAGTGAAGTGGCATTAAAAAAAATTTCTTCAACAAATTCTAATAAAT